TGCCCTTGACCGGAATCGAACCTGGGACCTTTCAGTCCGCAGGCTGACGCTCTATCCACTGAGCCAAACCGGTTAGGGCTATAAAGTAACTTTTTAAAAAAAGTAACGTTCAGCCCCTTAAGGTCTATTCAGTTATCAAAGAATGATTAACCATGGCATGAGCACATATATCCAAGTGACATAACATATGATATAAACTGTGAGTAGCTCTGGAAGTCAAAGGAGGTATGAAAAGAATATTGGGGAATCCTGAAAGCAAGCTTATCCTAGGACTAAGCTTTGTCATGTTACAACCTCTCTGAGCCTCAGGTTCCTCACCCATAAAATGAAGAGATTACAGATTTTATAATACCTTAAGTTCTCTTCCAAGTCCATAATTCTTTCCACTGATTAAATGGTAAAAGGACTTAAAGGATAAGGAAGAACAAGATATGGAAAGCTTTGCCTGAATATACAGTTAGTTTTGTTGTACCACGTTTTGAAAATGCAATTTGTTCTAATGCCAACTGATGTATTAGGGAACAACTTGAGCACAATTCAATATATGCATTTACTTACCTATCATTTTATCCACAAGAAAAACAGAGTGAATCCAGAAAACTGCACACAGTTGAACCCTTCAACACGAGAATATGCAAAGTGCATGTAAAAACAACTCAAAGATCTCCCAGCTTCTTCAGTTCACTGTGTATTAAGAGCCACATCCATCATATTTGGTATTATAACTTTATGTCATATTTCAAAGAACCTTTCACTAGTTCACAAGCTGCAAACCTTCCAACACCACTTCCACAAGCAAACTTGAGGTCTTTTGCAAGGTCAACAAAATGTATCTTCTAAATTCAGGCCTTGATTCTGGCCGAAAATCTTGGCATGTATCAGTGTAAAAATGTTACCTGCTCAATAATGGAATGTTCAATAACTACTCAATACTTGCCATGAAAGAATATAAAAGCAAAATTATTTCTGCAACCTATATATATAAAAGCCTAATATGCAAAGTGTCCCCTCAGGAGTTTGACTGACCAGGGGTTTGATCACTAGCCATGACATGTGCTGACCACCAGGGGGCAGCGTGGATGAAGGAAAGCCAATTTTCATGTACTGGGCCTCTAGTTATAACAATGCAGTAGAAACCACAGAACCTTTATAAACACTCCTTCCTAATTCCTGATATACTCAGAGGTAAAGGGGTTAGGGAAATAAAGGAAGTCTTACGTGTTAACCAGTCAGACTAGAAACAGGAAACAGACCCAAATCACTTAGTACTAAAGGGTTGGCTCTCCCGTCACTGGGAGACAAAGGGCAGATAAAAACAATGTTGCTATTTAGCATGCTCAGGAAAGAAAGATAACATAATTACTTTGCCTTTTTGAATGAACCCAGACTTAAAAACCAGGAATGATACCCGAAGTAACAAGCATAAATGTAGTGCAGCATGGCCTCCTCTGTGTTGGGCAAAGTTATTTAGCCATTACAGTCTTGATCCTGGCACCATTTCTTAAAAACTACAGCACTATTTAAAAGAGGAAGAGAGAGGTTAGAGAGAGATAAAAACATAAATGATGAGAATCGTTGATCGGCTGCCTCCTGCACACCCCACACTGGGGATCGAGCCTGCAACCTGGGCATTAAGCCCACAACCTGGGCATGTGCCCCGACTGGGAATTGAACAGTGACCTCCTGATTCACAGGTCGATGCTCAACCACTAAGCCATGCCAGCTGGGCTACAGCACTATTTTTAAAAATAGTTGAGATTTTTGTTTAAATATAAATATGTTATATATGTATATAAGAGAAAAAAGTAGAAGGAAAAACATCAAAGCGCTAATGGCTTAATATGTATTTAATGAGATTATAGATGATTGCTTTTCTTATTGACAGCTTTCATTATTTTATAAATAAATGTATATTACCATTACCATGAGAGGAAAACAAAATCTTTTTAAAAAATATTTTTATTGATTTTTCTTTTTTTTAGAGAGAGAAAGGAAGGAAGAGGGAGAGAGAGAAACATCGATGTAAGAAACATCGACTGGCTGCCTCCTTCATGCCCCCTATTGGGGATGGAGCCCGAAACCTGGGCATGTGTCTTGACAGGGAACCAAACCAGCAATCTTTCAGTGCACGGGATGATGCCAAGCCAACTGAGCCACACCAGCCTGGGCAACAAATGTCTTTTTAAACAGTTAACTAAAAACAAATGAATTCCTGATCATAGTACATGTAGAATTCACAATAAGCCATCAAACCTCTCTTCTATTTTCCAAAGGGTCAAAGGTGAGTGGACTGGATCTGGAGGGCACTTCCCCCACCTGCAGGAAAATTCAAAGAGAACCCTGCAGGGAAACTCTCAACAGGAAGGTGGATGAACACAATGATAGCCACTGTATACTCAGCAGATATATCTGAGTTGTTTGTCCCTGCTTTTATCAGCCAGCATTTTGGTGACTCCTTTGAGTATTCCAAAAAAATCTTCACCTTTTGAGTATAGCTACTATAGAGCCACTTAACCAAATTTAACCGTGTCTGGCAGCAAAGAATATGGAAATAAGATCTAACTAGAGACAAGTGCCTAAAGCCTAAGAAATATATGCAAGGCCACTGGAGATTTTATAGTCAGCTTTCTTCACATTGCTATAGTCAACATCACTAGCCCAGCGATGATCAACATTCATCCTTCAAGCAAGAAATTATCTATAGGCTAACTAGTAGATATACAGCACTATCCTAGATGCTGTAGTGAATACGAAAAGAATAAGGTACAGTGATTCTATTTATAGCAGTTACTATCTGATGGGGAAAGATATTACATACATATCAGAAATATTTCAATAACATAAGACAACAAAATTAAATGGCTAAATGAACTGTGCAGGTAAATATTTAAGGGACTTAAGAAGATTGCTCACTATGGACTTATAGTTGGGAAAGATTTCAGAGAAGAAGAGAGTGTTGCTAGTATCAGAAGGAAGATAAGTGTGGTCATTCAGATAAGCAAAGTCATTGGAATAGGAAAGGCAATGATTTCCGTGCCAAAGCCGAGCTGGCCTGGGGGTGCCCGCGGGGTAGCAAGGGCTCCCCGTTTAGGTGAGCCCGATCTGCCAGTCCCTGGGACTCCTGAGATATCTATCTGTCCCTCTCCCACCCATACACACACCACACACGTCCACACATGCCCCTCTCACTTCTTTACTCCGTCACACTCTCACCTTCTCTGCCATCCTGTCAGCCGCCATATTCCATAATATTTTCTTAATATTACACAAATGCCTGTAGGTTCTATAATGATATTTCCACTTTAACTTCTTATATTGGTAATTTGTGTCTTTGCTCTTGATCAGTCTAACTAGAGATTAACTAATTTTATTGATATTTTTAAAGATAAGCATAATGTGTATGATTTCCTTAATTTCAAGTGTACCGAGATTTCTTTTATGGTTGAACATATAGTTTAGCTTTGTGAACATTTTATATTCTCTTAAAAGGCAATGATGAGCCTGGATGGACTGAAATAAAAACCAGGTTAGGGAACAATAAAAGTAAGGAAGGAGAGATAGATTCGGGCAGATTTTAAATCCTCTTAAGTGGTTCCTTTATATCTAATCCATCTCATAAGCCATTAATTAAGAACATTTGTGGGAAAATCAATGTATCAAACACTATGCTAAATATATCAGAGAAATATAATATCTGATCTCACAATAATCTTCCAAAGTAGGTATCATTATTGCCATTTTCCAGATAGAAACTGAAATTAGTTAAACAAAGAAGTTAACTAATTTGCCAAAGATCACCAAGATAAGCAACGGAACTGGGATTTGAACTCAGACCCGACTCCAAAGCCCATGCTCTTTTTGACTACCTTATGCTAGCGCTTCCTAAAACATCACTCAATTTATATCTTCCCCATTATAGTGTATTCTCCCACTCTTAAGTATCCAGTGTCCCCATGGTGATGTGATCCCCTGTACATCAAAGCCTGCTCTCAGCTAAAATGAGAATGACCAATAACAGATTACCCTGCCCAGGGCTACTTGATGTTGTTACAGGAATCAGAGGCTTAAATCAGAAGGAAACTCTAATACAAGCCACTTAGGGGTGTACATATCTTACCTTCTCAGAGGGCCAGACCAAGTTTGTGCCTTATGATGTTCACTTTCATAGCTTATAGCTAACACTCACACAGTAAGAATCTCACTCATAAGCCCTGAGGATCTCCTTGGAAGTCTAACCAGCCCCAGCCCAGGAGACAAAGGCCAGATGTGGCTGCCAGTGGCTTCAGAAGGGAACTGGGACCTGGTGGTTCACATTTCAAGTATACGACATAAGAAAACCTAAACAAAATGTATTTGACGTTTAAATTGTTCAATGTTGCCCAAAAATGTGCTTTCTAATAATTCTGTAAAATAATATTTTACTGACTCTGGGAACCAGGAGTACTATCTTTATTGCTCTCACCTTTTCCACAATCAAGGATTTTACTGGTACCAAATGGTGTCATCTTTCAAAGACACTGAAATAAAACCCACATAGAATCTCAGAGTGAGTGAAGACAAGTGGGTAGAAGAGTGCAGTCCTGAGAGACACTGCTTCATGGATGGGCTGTGAAAATAGCCCTCACTGACAGTCCATTTGCTAAAACCAGGATATACTACTTGTTAGGTCAAAGGGCTACTGATAACTTGAAAGTTCCCCACCAAGTATTTTAATGGACCAAGGAATGAAAAGAGTTTCAGAATGTGTTTTAAAATGATAAGTCAAATTCAACATAAAAATTTCCAGCCCAGCTCAGAAAATATATTGAGTTATATGTCTTACATAGAAAATAAAGGTGGTAATTGGAAAAATAAAAGTGATACTGTTCATTTTTTCTCAACAAAGTTGTTATAGCCCTCACCCCAAAGAAAATACTTTCTAAGGAATTCCCATTTTATCAACGTTCTAACATGTTTGCCAACAGCCTTTCAAAGTAGTAAAAAGAGAATGTTCCCCTTACATATCTGGATGGCTCCTCTAGGTTCTGGTCGTTCATGTCAGTAGGAACAAGCCGGGTGGCCAGTGGTCCCTCCGCAAAAGGTTTTGGTAACTGACCCCTGAACTCTGATGGAATGAATTGAAGTTGCCAACTGTCAGAAACACAAATAAGGATAATAAGAAAAACACAGAGGGCCCATATTGCTAATGTTCTTGAAATAAACAAGCCCCCCCTCCAAATCATGTAAAAATATTTCATTTCACTTGGAAAAAAGATATTTCTACTGAAACCTCAACCCGGGAGCATAGAGGCAGAGGTCACAATTCAGTCCAAACTCGTTGAGAAATGTTAAACTAGAGGTCTCTCAACCCATTTCACCAGCTCTCAGCAATAACTGTGTAACCAAATGTTCATACCATCAAACAACCAGAGAAACACCAGTTAATTGCCAGTTACCCCTTATCCAGATCACAGCAAATTCATCGGGTATATAGAGAAAGGATTGAAATGTAAAAACTCACTATGGGAGAAGGACTTGTTCCTAAGTAATCTTCAAAAATATCTTTAGTTATGAAACTATGTTATAACTAAAGGTAAAGTCAACACTTAAAAAATAAGTATTGATTTAATTATTAATGGCTGATAACAGGATCTTTACCAAGCACAAGATAACACCAGTCCCCAAATGGAGGAAAATGACTCTTAACCTGACTTCCCTTTTCCCCAAATAGGACTCTTCTCCATCCAAATTAAGCAAATACAAGGAATCCCAGAACCTAATGCTATCACAATAGACAGCTTAAAGGAAAGTGGCACAGCTGTCTTGACCACAGCTCCCCCTAGTGTCCATACATAGGTGGAACCTTCTAGTGTTAGATGACAAACATTTCTTCTCTAAAAACACTCTTCTTGCTAAAGTTTCTAGACCACTTTTAGAAGTGAATTAATATCAGATCCCTATAGAAATTTAAATATGAATCCTTAGGAAGAGCCACTGACAGGAGCCCAGGGCCCAAAGTGGTTTTAGAATTCCCCAGAGCTCTGTGGTTAAGGGCAGTGCAGGGTGCACAACCAAACACAGCATTCGGTCCCCTGAACAGAGGCAATGGGTGCACAGTGCTGGTCCCACAGCTCTCTGAGATGGTAACAGAAAAACTTTTTGTGAAAAATACCCCCAAAAAAGAAAAATTAAGAAGACATTGACATAGATTTGCTATTTTACTCTTTGATTTAAAACTCGGATTAAAGGACAACTTACTTATCGGGCAGAAGGAAGCTGCTAGGAAACCGATACCACTCTTTTCCTACACAGACGTTAACAGGTCGGCCTTCTGGGACAGTGTGGATGGTTGGGTCGGTAGCAATTCGGTAAAATTCTGGATACAAATCAAGGGGCCCATGATACCCTGGAAGGAAAAAAATTGAAAGTTTTGTGAAAGCCAAAGATGAGTAAGTAACATGAGGTTCCGATATTTACTTATGATACATGTTAATGTCCCATTTTAATCTATGTGAAATTAAAGATTATAAGAAAACATATAAATCAGGAATTGAGCCCCAAATCTAATCCTAAGTTTAAAACTTCCTTAATTCATCCTTTAAAAAGAAAAGGTATCCTTTGAAGGGGAAAAAATCACTAAGAATAGAGAAAAAGAACTACAGGTAATCACACTAAAAGGAATTCTCAATCTTCTCTTCAATCCTAAAATACAAGAGACACACCCCAGTCTTAATATTTAAGTCCACAGGCCACCCTATAGAAAAGTCCTCCCAGCTCAAGCTGCGTTGCACTAACAATCACACATTAAGCAAAACCCAAGATGAATTGCCTCATGAGTATGGATTAAGACATTCTCAGTACACCTACCTCTGAACAGGGCTACAGAGCGAGAAAAGGATAAGAGTCCAAACAGGAAGAGTGTTCCTAACGCCAGCCAATTTGAGGTCACAGTGTAATGCTCTAGGCGGTACCGCTGAAACACGAAGTGGTAGCATTTCTAGAAGGAAAGAAAACTATTGAAAAAAGATATACCTTGCAGAGTATACACAATTAGAAGACATCATAGCAAAACAAAGATGGAAAAAGCAGCAAAACAGGTTCTATCAAGGGTCTCAGAACTTGCAAACATTTAGTGAGGTACCCACTCCAAATTCTAAGATAAAGAGTACCTTAGGGTCAGCCTGGCCAGAGGGTTTCTCAAGAATGAAATCTCAGCCCTAAATGGTTTGGGTCAGTGGATAGAGCATCAGCCTGCGGACTCAAGGGTCCCAGGTTCGATTCCGGTCAAGGGCATGTACCTTGGTTGTGGACACATCCCCAGTAGCCCCAGTAGGGAGTGTGCAGCAGGCAGCTGATTGATGTTTCTCTCATTGATGTTTCTAACTCTCTATCCCTCTCCCTTCCTCTCTGTAAAAAATCAATAAAATATATTTTTTTAAAAAGAATGAAATCTCAGTAGCTTCACAGGAAAATTATTTGGCTATTTCTTTAATTCTTTAAATGCTAATAATTTATTTTTAAAAAATATGAAATGTCCAGATTAGGCAAATCTACAGAGATACAAAATAGATGAATGGTAGCTCGGGCTGGGGAGATATGAGAAAGGGGGGTGACAACAGTTAAAGAGTACAGTCTCTGAGGTGATGAAAATGCTCTAAAATTGACTGTGCGGATGGTTACACATATTTGTGGGTATAGTAAAAACCACTGAATTGTATGCTTTAAATGGGTAAACTGTATGGTTTGTGATTATATCTCCATAAATCTGTTAAAGAGAAAACCTCTTACCCTAATTATTCTTTCCTATCACTTGCAAATGGTAGCAGAGGTCAAAAAAGAGTCTGGAGGCTTCTGAGGCCATAAATACAGAGATATTCAAGATTAATTCTAACAGGGAATTGATCTAAACTGGGTTTAACTGCCTGATGTTATTTCAAACAGTTGAACAGGTTTTATTCTGATCTCACTGTTGAAGAGCAGACATTCTATTAGCTCTGCTGGGGTACCACCATTCTGTGGGAGGCCCATTCAATGATTTAAAAATACCTGGATTCTTATTGGCAACAGAAAAAAAATAACTCACAAATCAACACTGCAAATATGTAATCAGCAAAAAAAAGAGTACAATCAACAGCTAAGCGAGCACTACATAAAGCCTTAATAACATGATCTGTATCAGGCTTAATGTACGGTTGAATACCTTCAGTGGAAGCATTTTGTAATTTGCCTGTAACCTTCAGGAATAATTTAAAAAGTGAAGCAGAATGAAGCAGATATCTATTTCCCTGAAACTCACCTGAAGTGCAGAAAGGGCCACAGCACCACAGAGACATATAAGTGGATATACAGGGAAAAGAAATCGCTCTTCTTTGTGAGGCTGGGTGAAGAAAATTATAAACCAAATATACATTGGAGCCAAGGTAAGCCAATATGGGTGGCCTAAATTCTGAACTGTAAAACACAGAAAAATATCCGCCTTTCACCATATTAGAAAACAACATATTGAGTTTCAATGTTCTCTTGATCTCAAACATGAAAATATGCCCTAGGGCACCCCATAAAATGTTTCATTTCTTGTGTTCACACTTTCTCCAATGCAATAAAGAAGTTGAGTAAAAAGAGGTATATACTCTTTAGCTCTCCCAAGAGATCCAACATGGAAAGGCAGGCACAATACTGGATCTGGCTAGAATAAATGAAAGTCAGGTGAATGGGCAATAGAGCTTCATTTGTACATTGAATGAAGAAAAAAAAGCCTTCTTTCTCTAATGAGTCCTGCCGCTAAGACTAAAGGTTCCTGAGATTAACCAAAAGCATAACATAAACTCATTTTTTGGGTCTTAATTCCTATGTTCTTTTTAATATGTTACTCTTCTTACTTATACACCAACGGTCTGTTCAAATAGCTACATATTAGAGGAAAGAAAAAGAGCAGGATTCTTAAACACATCACTGTTTTTGTCAAACCACAAATGACAAAGAGTTTGTTTCTAAGCAAATATAAAAACACTCTTAAAGGGAGTTTACTGATCAAGTTTTCTTTTCTCTTCTGCAAATATCCATCTATTCTGAATCCCAAAATTGGAACCAAAATGTACTTAAAGCGTATGAAAGAATTAAAGGAATTTAATGAACACTAAGACCAGGCACATGCTGGAAAGGTGCTGTGGTTAGGTACATGAACACTTAGTGAGAAGCCTGAAGGCACCCCGTCCTGTGCTTCTGTTAGTGATAATGAGCAGTACATAGATCACTAGCAAATAGTAGATAGAGAGCGCCCCCTAGTGTCCATTTTGTCTGTAATGAGCAAGTTCAGATGAAAAGATTGTCCTTAAGATCCAACTTAAAAATAAAAATTTTAAAATTTGATTTTTTAAAATAATTTTTTAAAATCCACCTTAGGATGCCTAATTTAGCACTCCTAATTTATTTGTATTTTTGAAGATACTCCTCATGGATAAAAATTTTTAAACTGCAACAAGCTTATCTTTAAACTTTCAACTCTAAGATTTTATCATGAGATTTCAGGTTATAATTTAGAATTTATCCCTTCCCAGGAAATAGTTTAGGTTGAAATTTTCTTAATTGAAAGAAAATAAGTACAAGTAAACAATCTTTTTCTATTCTGTATCTCAAAGGTGAACAAATATATTTTTAAATATGACCTAAAATTTTGAAATGTCCCCCATATAATATGCAAAATCATAATCACAGTTGTACTGCATGATGGAATATATGGATCATTTATTTCCTACTTCTTTATATTTTCCTGTTTTTTCTTTGTAAAAAGTACTGTTCCTATTATAAAATAGACAAAAAAAAGTATAACTAAAAACAGAAAGCACTTACTTTCTTACTAGGTGGATATGTGTGTTATTATACATTTTTAAACCAAAATTGGATTCATACTGTAGAAAACAGCTTACTATACTTTTTTTATATTTACACTAGAGGCCCGGTACACAAAATTCGTACACTCAGGGGAGTCCCTCAGCCCGGCCTGTGCCCCCTCACAGTCCAGGAGCCCTCGGGGGATGTCCAACTGATGGCTTAGGCCTGCTCCCAGCCAGCAGTCAGACATCCTTAGCGCTGCCGCGGAGGCAGGAGAGGCTCCCACCACCGCCACTACGCTTGCCAGCCCAGCTTCTGTCACACTGACCACCAGGGGGCAGCTTCTGTGTTGCGCATCTGCCCCCTGGTGGTCAGTGCACGTCATAGCAACCAGTCGTTCTGCCATTTGGTCTATTTGCATATTAGCCTTTATTATATAGGATTACAAGCATTTCCAAATTTTCCACAAGCATAAATTATTTTTTGTGATTATCAAATGAGTGGATTAAAAAACTGTGGTACATCTACACAATGGAATACTACGCTGCGGTAAAAAAGAAGGAACTCTTGCCTTTTGCAACAGCATGGATGGAACTGGAGAGCATTATGCTAAGTGAAATAAGCCATACAGAGAAAGATAAATACCTCATGATTTCACTCATTTGTAGAATATAGAGAACAACATAGACTGACGAACAGGGACAGATCCAAAGACAGAGAAACAGCGATCAGACTATTAATCCCTAGAGGGAAAGTAGGGGAGGGAGGGGGCAAGGGGAAGAGATCAACCAAAGGACTTGTATGCATGCATATAAGCCAAACCAATGGACATGGACAACAGGGGGATGAGAGCATGAGTGGGGGGAGGGAGGGAGGATGGGGGTTTAATGGGGGGGATGAGGACACATTTGTAATACCTTAACTAATAAAGAATCTAAAAACAAATTAAAAAATAAATAAATAAATAAATAACCACATATGTGGAACACTACAATATGAATGACCTAATTTCCTTAGAAATCTTCAGGAAAAAAAGAGGTGAGAGTGGGGGACCTTTTAAAAAGCTTAAGAAACATAATACTAAATTCAGTATATGACTTGTATTTAGACCCTCCTTTAAACAAACTAACTGTAAAAAGCTATTTTTCAGATAATGAAGAAAATCTGAATATCAAGTTGATTTTAGATGATATTAAGCAATTTCTTAATTTTGTTATGGCATTATGGTTATGTTAAAACAAAAGTCCTCACACAAAACAAAAGTGACTCTGAAGGCTGCTTTCCTATTCTATTCTTATAGTACAATAAACTCTTCCTAAACCATTAATAGTAGAAAAGCAGAATAAGGGGTGGAGTGGAAGGATCAATCACATGGCAACCAAATCAGACTGAAAAGTCTGAAATAAAACTCTTTCCAAATCACATTTTAATTTCTACTCAATTCTGTCTTCCATAAGAGAAACTATAGCACTAGATATCGTAAGCATGACTTGAGAAAACGCTGGCTGTGAAGTAGAGCAAGCAAAACAAATGACAACCTAAACTTTTCACAATAAGGCAAAGGGAAGCAAAACAGAACAAAAGAGCAGAGTCCAAAGCTTCTCTCACTTCGGTATCTAATTCGGGGGACTCCCTATATGGCTTAGTTTTCAGATTTTGGGTGGAAATGATTTCCCAAGAATGTTTGCCTCTAGCACTGATTATCTTAAACAATCTACCATGTTAACACTTCTTTAAAAAACAGGAGACTTAATCAAGTAGGTTTATCTTCTGAGATTTTATAAGCTTTTTTGCCTCCCAGGGTGGTTCTGTAAATTATACTGACTGCCTCACTTTAAGGGATATAAAGCTCCTCCTTGTCAGCTTAATTTGCAATTATTCACCACATCTTCACAGGAGTCTAAATAATCCACACATACAGATAGAAATTCAATAAATCAACCATTTCCAAAGGGAGAAAATGGAGAATAAATAAGCAGATTCTTTTTCATTTCTTTTTTTAAAATCTTCATTGTTGATTTTTCATTTCTTGGTATACATTGTTACTTGCTCTTCCCTCCCAAAAAACCTATCATCCCTTGTGCCACTCACCATGAAATCTCTGCAGTAGGTATTCCATAAGAGAAGTCAGTGGTAAGACCAGGAGAGCCAAAGCAAAGACAACATTAAAATTCAGAAATCCATTAATTAAATAGAAATGCCACGGTTCTGTACCTGAGGGAGACAAAGACATAAGAAATCATTAGTGGATGCCGTTGACACCTATTACAGTGTTGGCTCATAACAATCTCCATTTGAGTAATGCTGGTGATCCAATGCCGTGAGTTAAAGAGATCCCACAGCCCACTCTTTCCATGCTCACAAGAACAGAAGATGGGAAGACAATGGGATTGGTCATGACTTAGACAAAAATAAAGTTTCAGAATATTAAGCTGTATATTTCTGTACGGATAAGTATATCTAATTCAAATAGCCATGCCCAAATGGGACTAATACTTTTTCAGAACAACCAAATAATTTAAATAGGTTAGTGGTGATATTCTGATGTACAATAAGAAATCTGTATTTGGTCTTCATCCCCCTACCAGGCACAGAACTCCTAAGCCCTTGGAATTTCCTAAGTGATGAGAGTGATAAAGTGTCTTTTGTTATGTTAATTAGGAGACCTTAGGAAAGCCCCTAGATAACCAGAGGTTCAGGACTGGCTGCCAGGGGAACCAATCTTGTGATTAGGCAGTGATGGCGAACCTTTTGAGCTCGGTGTGTCAGCATTTTGAAAAACCCTAACTTAACTCTGGTGCAGTATCACATATAGAAATTTTTTTATATTTGCAAGCATAGTAAAACAAAGATTTATATTTTTGATATTTATTTTATATATTTAAATGCCATTTAACAAAGAAAAATCAACCAAAAAAATGAGTTCGTGTGTCACCTCTGACACGCGTGTCACAGGTTCGCCATCACTGGATTAGGGGGTCAGAAATTTCAGTCCTACCCCCTGAACTCTGACCTCAGGGGAGGAGAAAAGGGCTGGCAATAAAGTTCAATCACCAATGGCCAATGATTTAACCAATCAAGCCTATTAAATGAAGCCTCCATAAAAATCCAAAAGGTTGGTGAGCACGTGGTGTGGGGACAGCATAGGGGCTCCGAGCCCCTTCCCACATACATCTATGCATCTCTTGGATTTGGCTATTCACTTGTATTCTTTATAATAAACTGGTAAACCCAAGTACATGTTTCTCAGAGTTCTGTGAGCTGCTCTAGCCAATTAATTGAACCTAAGGAGGGGGCTGTTGGAACTTCCAATGGTCAGAAGTACAGGTGACAACCTGGACTTCCCATGGCATCTGAAGGGGGGTGGGGAGGGGCAGGCTTGCAGAATTGAGCTATTGAGGCCTTTCCCATTTCCTTCTCACCTGCTCATCCCATTTACATTCTAGTATCTTTTCCCTTGATATGCTCAGCCACGATTTTATACTCATGTACTAGTATACAGGGGACCTTGTGTTTGGTAAATAGCAAAACCTATTTTCCTTAGAAAAACAACATTCAGAGACCCAGAAGTTCTGAAGAAGTTTTGAAGATCAAGAATGAAACAAAATGACTAAAAACACAAGCCTTAACTCACATTAACTTTGATTCTTTAACTCAAAATCCTTAAACCCAAATGATGAGAAACAGTCTCCTCTGCACATTTGGGAGCATTCCATCTGCTCTTCCCCTCTGTGTGATTACTTCAATCAGGCAGGCAATGACACCACGGGTTCTAATCACTGTGGCACCGCCTTGCACCACAGCCATTTCCTGCAATCAGCATTGCTTAAAAGGGTAATCAGAAGGCAGAGAACAGTCAGAAAAACCTGACACTTTTGCAGCTTACACAGCAAAATAAGATTAGAAACCAAACCCATAACACTAGAAACACTAAGGGGAGGAATAAGAGGGACGTGGGGTACCCTAAGGAAGGAGGCAAGTTCAACTGTGTGTTACCTTTTGGAAAAGCTCAGTTCTTCCTAACGAAATGCAATGACTGAGACTATTCAGGAACAGAGGCCCTGACCCAGGCCAAATTCATTGGAGACATTTATATCTTTCATTCTTTTCTTTTTTTAATTGACTTTAGAGAGGAAGGGAGAGGGAGAGAGAGATAGAAACATCAATGATGAGAGAGAATCATTGATTGGCTGCCTCCTACACGCCCCTCACTGGGGACTGAGCCTGCAACCTGGGCATATGCCCTTGACCAGAATCAAACCTGGCTGACGCTCTATCCACTGAACCAAACCAGCCAAGGTATATACCTTGTATTCTTTACAAATAATCTTTTGGGTGACAGAAAACAAATAGAAGCTCTTATTTTCAAAACAGAAATATATGTTTTCTCTGGATTTAATTACTAGTTAACAACACATTTCCTAAATGGAGTTTGTTAGGTTCCCGAGAAGTAAGTTTTTACAGAGTCCTCTCCTGACTGCCAGTTGAAGGTCGTGCTATGAAACTTGACTGGCCTTTTCCTTAACAAATTATAGAAATCTGAGCCTGAGAAGAAAAATCAGAGTGACCAGAGAGAAAGGGAGTCATCTATTAAAGATGCTAAGCTTTAATAGAAAACAACCCCTTTCTCTTTGATTCTTGCAAATATCTATTCTTGCAAATAGATATTGCTTTTTCAGGAAATTATTTTAGTTTCTGATAGGTCTGATCAAATAATTGAATCGATACCTCTGGGAAACTGACCTTTAGAACATTTCACAACCGAAATTCCCTTTCGCTTAGACCACATTCCACTTGCTAAGACCATTGTCTTTCCCCTCCAGACTTCCCCAGGATCCAACCCGCTCAGAGAGTTCCCCAAAAAAGCCCACCTAGAGTCCTTTAAAATCTGACTCCCCTTCCCTGAGTGCTGGCGCCATTTGGAGGCTCAGCCCACCTGGTTTCCAGATGATCTAAAAAATGTATAATTCTTTATCACTTTCGATGTCGTGTGCTCCTCCTTCTGTGACCCTAACAGTTTCCAGCAAATATTTGTCTCTACCACAACTTACTATTCCCTCCTGTAGGGCTGACTATGTTTTTGCCTAGGTATACTGAACTCTGAGATGCACAGTTAAAAGTATTAAGTTGCTAAATTCTATTTTTATGTGTTCACTGCTCATGGACCCAAGTTCACAGCTAGCCTGTGAATATTTCATAATAGATTGTTACTTCCCTGAAAGATAGGGCAAAAACTGGGGGATAAGCCAAGAGTGGGAAAGGTTCAAGTGACAACAGTATTAAAAACAAGGGTAAAAGGGGACAAAAATAGTGATTTCTGATAGCCAGTGTCCTCCACTACTTGATGAGACATCTGCCTTAAAAGAGAAAAGAGTAAAAACTTTTATCTCCAGGGAGATATTCAATGCTGCTGCTCAGAAAGTATCAAAGCTGAACTATGCAGAAAAACTGCATCAGAATGACAAGCTAAGCACTCAACTAGTGCAAAAGGCAAAGTGAAAGAAAGCTGGAAGCAGGGTCTCTGCAGGGAGTGACTCACCAACCTCCCTCTTTATAAAAGCCAATTCCTTCCATTCAAATGAGCTAGAAAGAACTTGAGAGAGGCTGGAAGAAGGGATGTTTACTGTTCTATAGTTTGAATGAGGGGGAACCGCTTTGTAGGCTTATAATTTTATAGAACTGTAGAAAATTTGCCCACCCATTGTGGCTCAGTGGTTGAGCATCAATCTATGAGCCAGGTCACAGTTCAATTCCCCGTCAGGGCATATGCTTGGGTTGTGGGCTTGATCCCCAGCTTGGGGTTTGCAGGAGGCAACCGATCAATGATTCTCTCTCATTATGATGTTTCTATCTCTCTCTCCCTTCCTCTCTGAAATTAATAAAAATATATTTTTAAAAAAGAAAATTATAGTAAATCATCCTTATTAAATGTCAAATTTGCAACACCAAGAGGGAAAAGCCACTAGTGTTCAACAAAAAAGAGTGAAGGCTCAGAAAGAGTTCCGGCTGGCAGTTAACTCCAAGCTGGTCTCAAAAGACTCCACTGGGGCTTCATCCTCTGCTACAGCAAGAGTGGAAAACTGGGGGCCTCCTAATAGAGGACCTTCATTTTACTTTCTGAAATGTCCTGTCCAGTGATCTGAAAGATGCTGATAAAACGCATAAACAGGCAGGGATCAGATCCTACACCACAGAATGGCATTGTTGAGCAGACCCATACTATTTTCGAGGGAAGAGCGTTTCTTGTACCTGTCCTCCCCCGCCTCCCCTAGGCCTGTGTACCGGTCGGAGAGTACCACTCTTCACTCACCACAGAAAAATGCTTACCAACCTCAACATCTGAGAATTTGAAATGTTACAAGGATAACAGGCAAATTCAGTGCCAAGACCACTTTCTTTTTTGCAGCATTACCCTCTTTTTAAAAAAATCTTAACTGTTGAAAGTATTACATATGTCCCCTTTTTTCCCTCATCGAAATTTCACCTCTTGATCGTTGACCCCATAAAGATGTTTTGCCTACGACTTTGCAATTTTATGTCTACACTACTCTACCTTTCCTAAATGCCAAGTACTCTTTCCCTCGTCCAAACATTCTTTTTCTTCGACAAGGGTCTGGCGCAGCACTCCCTGGGGGAGGAGCCTGCCAGTGCTCGTGGCACTCTGACTCTGAAGGTCTGTAGGGCTCCTGATCACCCTGCAAGCCAAACTGCATCAGACCTTCAAAGATGCAACTTCTCGCCTATTTTGTAGACTGGATCTTATCTTCTCCTACCCGCTTTGTGCAAGCCTATTGTCCTGTAAGATCTCAGCCAAACTCCAGGGTTTTGCTAAGGTCATTTTTAGTGGAAAGAACATGGGCTTTGGAGTCAGACAGCCCTGGGCTCTTATCCCCTTTCTGCCACCTATTTAACTATGTGGCAATTCTCTCGCCAAGTCTTCATCACTGTCCTTATCTGGGAATAAGGATAAATGATGCCTATCTCACAGAGCTTTTGAAAGGGGAAGAAGACAGTATGTGTAAAATTTCTGGTGTATAGTAGGCATTTAATAAACAGAAGCTATTAATAGCTGTGAAAACTGTGTTTCTTTCCCTGACCTCAAAAGACATGCTCAGGTCTGGAATGTCTCATAATATATGCTGTCTCTCCAAGAAAGCATAGAAAGGTCCCTCTGAAAACCAGGAACCATATAGAGAGTAAATATTTATATTATT